CTGCCTACCTTCTATTTAAAATTTTGTGTTCAACTGCCTAGTCAAACAATTCTAAAAAACTTAAAAACAGCAAACATTCTAGTAGCTTATGATGAAGTTCCTCCCCTTCCTGACCAGGGTCCTCACTTGTTGCAGGCGGTGTGACCAGGATGACTGTCTCCTTGGTGGTCATTGTTTTTGAGCTGACTGGAGGCTTGGAGTACATTGTCCCCCTTATGGCTGCAGTGATGACGAGTAAATGGGTTGGAGATGCCTTTGGTAGGGAAGGCATTTATGAAGCGCACATCCGACTGAATGGCTACCCTTTCTTGGATGCAAAAGAAGAATTCACTCACACCACCCTGGCTGCCGACGTCATGAGACCTCGAAGGAATGACTCACCCTTGGCTGTGCTGACACAGGACAATATGACAGTGGATGACATAGAAACCATGATCAATGAAACCAGCTACAATGGCTTTCCTGTTATAATGTCAAAAGAGTCTCAAAGACTAGTGGGATTTGCCCTCAGAAGGGACCTGACAATTGCAATAGGTACCTTTGAAGTCTTATGTACATTGCTGGGTTGTTTTCTTGCCAAATACGATTTTATCTTCGCAGGTGCCAGGGCATCAGCTAAATACAGCGTTGCATTTAAATACAATGGGCTTACTTGAATGCAAATTATTGAAAATCCCCCGGGCTTCAAGTGGTTCATTCCAATTCAGCCTGTTCTGAGAATTTGCATTTCCACCCTAGATAGACTGACTCAGAATCTACCTTTTAGTGGAATTACCCGGGGATCTTGTTAGATTGTAGATTCTGATTCAGTGTAGCTGGGCTGGGCGTGCTGAGCCGTGGCGCGTGGCAGAACAGCATGAACTAGCTTGAAGCCCTGAAGATCGCCTTCATTGTTCTCTTTCATAGTCGGGTCACAAGGGTTTGCATTCGCGGACGGTGGATTTGGGTTTACAGCATGAACATGTTAACTCCAACATGCAGTTTAAAATGAAAACACGCACTGCGACTTTCTTTTTGGTCAAATGCCAGATTGAAAAACAAAAGCAAAACACCATACCAGCCCTATTGATTTTCTGCCCAGCTGCCTGGATATGTAGTTTGAATTAGACATTAGCCTTACTACATTATTTCTTGGAGATAAATTAAACTTTTTGAAGAGGAACAAATTGTGTTCTTCCAAAATATGTATATTCACTCCCATATTTCTGAAGAAGCTAGTAAAACATTTGATCTCTTTCATTACATTCTGACTACCCCTGTGCCCCTCCCCACCCCACCGCCAACCTCAGAGGTGATGGACAGTAAATACAGCAAGCCTCTCTGTTGTTACTTTGCAGTTTTTACTAGAAGAGTTGGAATTGGGAATGAGAGTATTTGGCCTGTCCCCAAAGACCATCCTTGTATTTCTCAAATTAAACTGGAAAACGTTTGAAAGAGGCATTAAAGTGGGGTGGGGTGGGGATGGGAGGAATCTAGACAACATCCTTCTTAGTTTAGGAAGAGTCTACCGCACTGGAAGAAGCAAGCAATCCCAATATGCTGTGTTATACTCAAATGGAGTGATAAGTGTTGCCGAGAAGGCAAATGAGTGCAGTATTTTGACAGAGCAAGTGCTGCTGCTCCTAAGCCATGACTAGGGGCAAAGTGATCGCCAGAGAAGAGTTATTATTAATGTAGTTTCTCATGTTTCACGATTTACTGTTGCCAAAGAAAAGGAAAAGGAGGTCATATCTATCAAGATTGGAAGGAACCAAAGCCAAGAAGGAAAGGAAGGATGTGGGAAAACGAGAGATTATTTACATTTCCTGTGATTTTCGTGGGCCTACTGCTAAGAAAGAGAGAAAGAGGCCTGGATCCCCCTGGAATAGGGGATATCACCGAGTCTTAACTGAAATCCTCAGGAACACGGAAAGGGTATTATTTGTAAGGGAGCTGACTGTTATTCTGCAGTAGAACCTTGGAGAACCCACACTGGCCACTTAATCATCTCCAGACCATTAAGCAGGTAGCTGGGTTCACCCCCTGACGAAAGGAGCTCCCACTCAGTCTGTGATTCATATTCAAGCCAGGTGCTTTGTAACTAGTCCTCAAAAAAGCTGGATTGTAACTTAGTCCCCGCTACTAATAATGGCAGGCTATGGGCCTGTGGAGTTGCTGGAAATGGTTAAAACTACAAGAATGTTACATTTGCAAACACCCCTGTCCATGCTTTAGGCCCTTGAACTTTTAAAGCACCTTTAAAGGATAAAAGCAGTTTGGTCAGACCACACAGAAGAGATCCTTTACAAATAAAACACCCGAGGAAAATATCAGCCTTTCTATTATGCTTCTAATTGCAGTTCCAGGCCATCTTTCGTGCTCATGACTCATCCAGAAAAGTATACTCTTCACATCAGAAAAGAAAACCAGCCTGGAGGAAGCAGCTCATTCATAGGGTGTAGAATACTGACTGTAGTCAAAGCAGGGATAAAAGGCCGCCTCGCTCACCTGCAAACAGGAACACCCGAGGAGTAAGCTCTCGGCTCCGTCCCATGACGGGCTCCAGGCACAGATGGTGGTGTCATGTACGGCACAGGCCTGACAGCCCATGCTTCCAGCACACTGAGTTGCCCGCAGTTACAGAACAGCTTCAGCTCCAGGAAAGGGAAAGGAATTATACCACAATACTAAAAAGACACATGTATGAGGATGCTCACTCTGTCAAACTGAACATTATTACTAAATGGCTTTTCAGTCGATTCCTCTCTTGATTAGGGAGACGATAACAACCAAAATGAAAGGACCAGAGGGTGCATTTATTTCCTATCTGATTACAGATTGCCTGTAAACAAACCTACCGACTGTTCTAAAGCACGTTGTTCTCGATCTCCCTTCAGAAAGCGCTAGGAAGAAGCAAGAGGGCGTCGTCGGCAGTTCTCGGGTGTGTTTTGCACAGCACACCCCGTCACTTCCAGCAGAAAGTCCTCGTCCTTTGAAACTTCGGAGCATCCTGGACATGAGCCCGTTTACAGTCACAGACCACACCCCGATGGAGATCGTGGTAGATATTTTCCGAAAGTTGGGTCTGAGGCAATGCCTTGTAACTCACAACGGGTAAGTTTGGCGTCCAAGAACTCGATCCACTTGATAGAATTTAGGATCTTTTTGTAGTGGCATTGGTACGTTCTTCCTAAGAGAGAGCATGAACTGTCAGCTCTCAAACTAGAAAGCCTTTCTTTGAGTTCGGTTACACACACGGGGCTGGTCAGTCAAGGTCATACTTGGCAACGGATAAGAAAGATGCCAACTGCTAGCTCTTCCTTCAGATAGGAAGCCACATTTGGGAAGGAACAGTAAGCTGGAAAAGGTACACATCTCCAGCGAACAAGCAGCACGTTAAGCTTAGAGAGGTTCGGATAGTAGACCAGACAGATCTGCAGGGAACACCCTTGCAAAACCATTTTTTTTAAAAGGACTTCCCTTTGAGTGTTCACATTGCTAGTCTAGTAAGGACCTTCTAGATCTGCCATGGCTTGCTTCTTGCAGCCAGCCTGTGGTTGAGCGTGGAACGAAGGGAAACCAAACAGCACACTCACCGCCATTGAGCCAGTGCTGGCTCACAGCAACCCCTGTAGCGTTCTGAGATGTCACTGTGGATGGGAGTAGAAAGTCCAGTCTTTCTCCTGAGGAGCTGCTGGGGGTTTCGAACTGCCGACTGTGTGGATTCGCAGCCCAGCGTTCGTAGCCACTGTGCCACCAGGGCTCCTTTGTAATGCGGGCAAGACTATGTAATGAAAAGATTTGGGAATTAGCTAAAAATCTCCTTTCGCGAATGCTTTCTCTGCTTTCACCTACCCTCTGTCCACAGATCTTTTATAAACTTGCTAGTGACAAATGCAACACTCATGCACTTTAATGATTTTTCTGCCTTTTGCACATGGACGCTGGGTGCTTCAGACGCCCTGGGCCCCTGGCACAGACGCCTACTTAGCAAGCACTCCTACTGCCCCCGCCTGCACACCTCTCTCCTGCTCCAGCCCACCACTCAGGCTCTCGAGGCTGCTGCCATTACATTATTATTCCTTAATTGAAGTTGTTCAAATGTTATTTCATCTCAAAGCAGATAACAGAAAGGCTGGACAAGAGAAACCAAGGTGGTTCTTAGATTATGCATAAACTGGATGCCGAGCAGCTCGAACCTGGACGAAATCCTAAGCATTTAGAGAATCCCAGCAAGGGCAAGGGCATTTTTACATTTTGTACCAAGTATTTGGGCTCCAGAGAACACGACTCCAATCTAGAGAAGGAAGAAAAAGGGAACAAAGTGAAGATTCGTGTTTGCCAAACATCTTCCTCATGTTGTCTGGGTGTTGCTGTACCGCCAGGTTTAGAGACTTTCTTAAAGTCCATGTCCAGTAAGTCAGACTCTCTTTCCGAGACGTGAAACCCAATTTCTTGCTACTGTCTAACACTAGAAGTGACAGATAGACTCCCTCCCCTTCCTTCTTTGTGATTTCTTAAGACTACTAAAACATGGTCTTGGCTACTGTGTTAGAGAACACTGGACTGAGAACAGAAGTCCAAAGCTAGGGAATTAGATGTATGATTAGTGGTTTTCACTGTTCACCAACTAAAACAACTCAGGGACTGGGAAATACATCATGAAAAGGCAAAAGCTCTTAATTAAGGGGAGGGTGTGTGAAATTTGATTAGAGGAGAGATTAGTAAAATATTTTGGTTACTATTTTTAAGTTTAGTACTGTTTAACAAAAGAATGGCACCAAGCTATTGTTTAAAAACGTATTAAGTATGTGTTAAATGGAGTAATTTTTCATAGAGCTTTTATGGTACCTTGGGCCTTACGTACTAAACAGCTCAATTAGAATCTAACCTGAGTTGTTATAATCTGTTCTTTGCTTCAAGTAGTTTTCTCTGCCTGGCATGATTTATCCTTTCTTGTACTAACACATAAATGTAGTGAGTTATCTCATCAAGATGTGCTATGGTCATAAAGCTGGAGGAGTTAATTTTCCTATTCTATGCTGATTAATTTCCAGATTTTTTGCAGCATGGATATTTTTAAAAAGAAAAATATTTAATAGAAAATATAAAATGTAAAAGTGTGTGGGAGGAGTCAGTGTAAGATGAAAAACGAACACCCAAACTCCACATCCACGGCGATGCACAGCGACCCTCTGTAGGGTTTCCTAGGCTTTGTGACTCATTATGGGAGCAGAAAGCCTCATCTTCCTCCTGCAGAGCAGCCGATGGGTTTGAACCGCTGACCTGTAGTTAGCAGCCCATGCTTACCGACAGCACCACCAGGGCTCCTTCAGCGTAGGATATCAAAACCAAAAACCATCTGCCATCGAGGGGACGCCGACTCATAGCAGCCCCATCGGAAAAGGGTAGAGCTGCTCCACGGGCTTCCGAGACGGACTCTGTTCGGGAGTAGGAGGCCCCCACTTTGCCCTGCGGTGTGCCTGGTGGTTTTACATCTGCTGACCTTCTGGTTAGCAGCTCAGTGCATAACCCTGCCAACTGTCGAATGCGTAGGGGAGGGATGCTTCTTTCTAAAGGAATATTTTTAATTGCCTTCATCAAATTTGGTTATCTCTGCCCTTCAAGGAAAAGAAGTAGATTTATTAATGTTCGGGAAGAGGACCTTCGCAAAGGGAGTTTTTTTCTTTGATGTATGAAAGGAAGCTTTGAATGCGATTGTGTCAGTTCCTACTGAAAGTCGGCCCCCCCGCCCCCGGCCCCGCCCCTCCCCTCCCCGCCATGTGACAGAATAGAACTGCCCCGTCGGATTTTCCCAGCTGTAACCTTTACAGAGCGAAACACCAGGGCCTTCGCCTTCTGAAGCCTGTGGGTGCAGTTGACCCCCGCCTTTCAGTGCAGCCAGCCCTTCTCTGTGCTTGCGTCAGGAGGTGTCGGGTGTTTTCATTCTCAAGTGAAACGATGGCTAAGCCCAGAGAAGAAGTGCTTCCTAGTATTTCTTGGAGCGTATGCAGTTCTGGACGATTATCAACATTTCATAGTTCATAGCAGGTCCGTAGAGGTAGAGAATCATGATCTGGGGGTGAGATAGAACAGATCTAGAACCCTAACTGCGAGGCGACAATGGGAAAGGAGAAGCGAGGGAGACTTTGCCCATAATATAGGAAGATGTCAATTCGCTGTTGATTGTCCACATTTGATATTTGAATGCAGCCGAATCTCCCACCATGGTTTCGTTTCGTAGAACAGTAGGACTGGGCATCACTCCATGTGGAAGCTCTGGGGCCGAGAGCTGAGGAGGATACTGGATGGAGAAGGACACTCCATCAAAACACCGTTTTCTCCTCTCCGCGTTTTAAAATGACTTCCTGAGAGGGGTGGTAGTGAGCGATAATTTTCAAAGCTGCTTTGAATATTAACCTTTTGGTGGTGGGAGGTGATCCCATCATACTTAGTGTTTTGGGGGATGGACTTTGGGAACACGCTAGATTAGATCATTACATGTCAGTTCAAAAAAACCCACAAATTGTTTCACATTGCACGTAGATTCTGCTTCCACTCTCTGGAATTAACGTTAGTACCAAACCTGGCCTGATTTTCAAACATTCTTCTCTGTTGGCGAAAGAGACGAATCATGTATGCTCCTCCCTTTAGGGCTGTGACTTTGTAAAGCTGACTTTGTAAAGCTCTAAACTGGTCACTTTGTCTTGAGAGTTCTAACTTCTCACAGTGTACCTTGTGATCTGACAGTGTGAATGTGTGCACACGCAATATTGCCCAATATTGATCATTGCCTAGAATTGGACAGGAAAACATGAATTTCGTAGGTCTTACTTGTTTTGCCAAGATGTTCACATTCCCTGACTCCAGACATAAATCCAAGTCGATCGAACCAGAGCCTTTCTTGAGTGGTCGTTGTCTATAGGACAGATCCTGAGCTTTTTGGAGGGAAAGGTTGCACCCATGTCCCAATACCTTTTCTGTTTATTGTTCTTCTTAAGGATCAATACATTACTTAAAGAAACATCAGCAGAGCACCGACTTCTGCCTTTCCTGTTCACTACCTCCCATTTCTGAGCTGCTTTGCCCCTCCTCACCACATTGTCTCAAGTAACCATTGTAACCAACAGAGCCGTGAGAGCAGACGACTTCGGCTAAGTGAAGTCCCGTAGTGCCGTTCTTCCACAAGCCAGAATGTCCACAGCACGCTTACTAGAGAAAGTTGGCTTTCACTTGATGGCCATGGGAATGGGCTTCTGGGATTTAAAGATGAAAGCTTTTCATGGTTTTGGGCTGTCACTGTCATTTGACTGCATACATCTCACAGTTAAATTCACTAACTTCCATTATAAAACCAGTAACTGGACTTCTGTTTTAATCATCCAAATGTCAGCTTCAAGGGTCCACATCGTGAAAGTTCATACCCTTCACTTTCCCTGATCGATGTCAACAAAGAAATGAGGGTTACTTTTAGAGATACATGAGTGAAAATAATCTTGCCTCCTAATTATCAGTAGAGTGGTTTATTTTTAGAAGTGGCGTTCATTGTTCTTGACAATTTGTGTTTC